ATAAACAATATCATTTTTTCAGAAATACTCAAAGCACGAAATGTATGATTTAAATTGCATAAAATAATTAAAATTTTTTTATAAAATCCGCTTCTTTTAATTTAAATATATTTCATATAATTCTGCTAAATTTGATTTAAAAAAACGAATATTATTCACATTATTTGGAAAAATCTAGAACGAAATCTGTAAACTATAAAGTCTGGCGCGTCAGTATGTAGATAATATTCGCGTATTGCATCGTATATTCGTTTGGGAATGCGCAGCGTTGATGTGTCGAAACATAAAAGATCGTACGCATAAACAGAGCCGCAGATGCCGCGACGAGACTGCAAATAAAAAAAAAAAGGTAACTGCGAGACCATCGCGAGAAAATATGCGGAGAATTGTTCAGAACAAATGTTGTATGTATTATACTTAAGGGTGAATTTTATTTCGTTCTCTTTTTCTCTCTTCTTTCATATTTACATTTTCGGCCGGTCGACTTGTGCAGGGAAAGGTACGCGCATTTCACATCGTTCTTATTTTCTGCGCAATGTTCGATGCAAAAATAATATTCTCTTGACTGTCCTTCTTTTAAAAGACGCAGCTTACAGTCTGCATATTATTTTCATGTAAATATAAAAATGATTAATACTTATTGATTCTGATATTTGAAATTTCTATTATCGAGTGCAATTAATATAGAGAGGGAAAAAGGAACAATCGGATTTCACAAACGGTGCTGAAGTATTAATCTTCCAGAAATCAGAATTCCAATTTTTCATCTTTATTGCAAGAAGAAAGAAAAAACAAATCTGTTATATTTTACGTCTGTTAACTCATGAATTGACGTATTATCCTGGGATTAAGAAAAGAGAACCGAGCAAACGAAGAATGCTGTCCACAATCTATAACACCATTCAATACTTAAGAAAAATGCTGGTCGTTGTCGCTTTAAGATATCTCAAGGATGGAACGCTTTCGCCGTAGAAACATATGTCATGGTCTGGCAGGGAAAAATAACCGATCCAATCACCAATTGTACGGGGGGCTATCCGAGTTAGAATATCTTGTTATCTAGAGAGGAGGAAGGGGAGGATCTCGCAGGAGAGAGCTCGCGGTCGACTACGCGCTGACGCAGACCGAAAGTATCTCGATATATCAATATCAGGCATGCCAAAAACTTTGAATACACCGCCCACCTTGACGACGTGCTACGTACGTACGGCGGAAGTTTTCTTCACTTTCAGAGCGGTATCCGCAGGAAGGTATTCTCGCTAAACTTCTTCCTCGAATGAGATAAAGCGATAGCAAAGTCGATAAGCTGATTTGATCGCAACAATAGAACTCCGGCTTACAACGTACATATTGTGTGATAACCTGGAGTTCCTACACAGTTCCGGCATATCGATTCAGGAGAAACGCTACAAGATGAAGTATACGCTTGGGACCAGGACGACTACGTTTATATAAATATGCAAACACATGCGGTCAATAAAGTAAGCTGAAAAATCTTTTGTGATGCAAGAAATCTGGCTTAAAGGATATTTTAACTTTTATTATTGTTTTGTAAAAATAAAAAAAAATACATTTATTATATTTTATCCGCAATGTAAATCGAAACGTATGTGAATTATATTTGTTAAAGAAATTTGCAAAGTAATTGTTGATTATAATATAGATAGGTATTTGAAATATTATAAATTTTAAGTTTTATATAAAAATGCATATTCTGAAAAAACTGTTTGTTTTTTTCAAAGCATACATTTTACATAGCAATAATGCTAACATAACAACAAAATTTACATTTAATAAAACAAATTGTTAATGTAATCAAAATATAATTATAATTTAATATAAATTACTATGGGCATGCATTTTGCGCTGCCAATTGTTACAATGACATCGTACAAGATTAAATTAGAAAATGTTGACATTTGCTGAAATAACAGCTTAATATAAATATACCAAAAAGTGCAGCATATGATTTTAATATTCATATAAATGAGTGTTAAAAAAAAGGAAATTTTGTGATAATCTGACTTTCGCTCGGAATACATATTGAAACATACCGAATTAACGATCGATTTTTCTTAGCGCACGACGCGCTTTTATCCCGTCAATATCCGACGATATAACCGGAATACTCTGCGTTATTAACATCGTAAATGCAGTGCTGCGTGCTACGGTTGGCTGGCAGAAGCCTTGCAATCTGCGTAAAGTTTGCGCAGCGAGGGATGTAGGCTCGTGGTGGGTGGAGAACTCGGGGTTTGAGATACTTGGATCTGGTCTCTCGATCGTCTTGCTCGCCTGGTACAGGCGCGAAACCGCTGGATCGTGAATGTACCGGCGATGTCGCTGGTTTAACGGCACCGTATCCAGCGACGGCTGTGTAATTTAATGAGCATAAAAGCCAGAGGCACGATTAATACGCGTGCCGAAACGAGGACGACGTTGTCGACAAGACACGACTATACGTGCGCTGATTTGAGAGGTATGTGACACTGACGTAGGATTATAGAAAATTGTGACTCTTGTGACGCGAAGCTCGATATATTCTTCTTTAATATATCTTTTGAAGCATCGGCACACATTTATATAAGAGACAAAAAAAATTAATGCGAAAAAATGCGTTAAAGAGTAATAATTTTACTATATAAATTAAAATAGCGCAATTAAAGAATCGTATTACACTTTACCTTAAGGATAGGAAAGAGAAAGAAAGATGGTGAGAAAACATAATATTATGTTTCCCAAAAGAATATATCATTATTTCTAATTAATATCAAAAATACTTCTTAATTTTCTTGGTATAAAAGAGTTAATTAGATATGTTTTTATATACTACCATTATTTTCTGAAAAAAGAAAAACGAAAATACACGGTGTGATACAATTGCTCGTTGCAGTTTGTAATGATATAATATTAGGTATCTAAAAAAAGAAACAATGAGATATAGATTTCGTAGTAGGTCACTGAAAGCTCGGACATACATTATCGCTCGACATGGGAATTGAAAAAAAAAACATGAGCAATACATCTTCCAGCATCACAAGTGCACGATCCTTGCAGGTTACTGCACGCGAGTGAAATGATGTCGCCCCGACTTGCAAGTTTGCGCGACTGGCTGGCCGGTAGGGATGGAAAAGTTTAACTTCAGAATTTACGGGCTGACGCGAGAGGAAAAAAGTTTCGGCACACATCTGGATGCGGCCGGCCGATAATCGATATGTGCGGCCATTCTTGCCGTGTGTCGTCCACACGCCACTTTGAAATCAAGATTTTTTTCGGCTAATTTGGCCTCTAATGCTATTCCGACCCATTTGAGAACGCTACGAAAGTAGAAAAGTTGTTGCACACCAAGGGGATACTCATTTATAATTGCATGCATTGAACTTTGTATTGCTCTACGTTTTTGTTACACTTGTGATTGAGACAAGCATCATTAACCCTTTTACTATCAGAAGTTTTTATTGCTCTCTATAACGAAAGTAATACATAGCAGTCACTATTCTTCTTCTTCTTTTTGCCTTTCTTGTAGAAGTTTATATACTAAATCAAATCTGTATAAATTAAATTTGCGAATCAAATTAAATTTATAAATCAAATAAAACATGAAATCTACTTTAAATGCCTTATTTCTTTGTTCATCTACACACAAGTTTTGCTATTAAAACGAAAATTCTTTCTGTTCTGATGACACATAAGCTAAAAATGCATTATAAAAGTCTAAAATCATTAAAGCTTTTTTTATATAAATTTATAAGATTATTATAATCAAGGAAATTAACAACAATAAACAAATTACACGTCTTTTAACCATTTTAATCATATGCTTTGATACTAACATTCGTCCTGCTAATAACAATCCACTGGATCTTTAGACTCTTCTATCCCTCGTACGCTCTCTTATACTCATCGTGCTCTTCCAGACACTTTCGTTCGGGCGTGAAACACGCCGCATCTGTAATTTCCGTGCAGGAACTCCGCAATTCTACCAGGCCGTATCTTTCGCTGATCCGCGCGTCTTCCTCTCCGTCCTTCAGGTCCGTCGATTTTTCCTTCGTCTATTCTCCTCTTAACTTTGGCGTCGTACGCTTCATACGTTCAGAAAGCTCCGTCTGCGCGTATATGTTCCCTTATTCCGCTTATCGCAAAAACGGATCGTTCGCGAAAAAAGAGAATAACGGATGACAGCGACGAGCTAGTCGGGACCGTGCGCGTGAAATACGCAGGTACGTCACGCACGTACCATCGTCTGTAAATCAGTCGCGAGTGCTCGGGTTCTCGCGAAATATTTAACGACGACTCCTATCCTCGTTCCGCAGTTGCGCCAACCCTTCAGCCTCCCTGCTGAATTTATTGCGTAATTTCAAAACGGTTCGGCGTTTCCGTGCCGACCTGTGACTCGTCGCGGATTGCGCGGCTTCCACAAACGCAAGCGATAAATTAAAAGTCGCGGCATAATGTTCTCAAACTGCCGTTTATTCAATCCGTAATCCTAAACGAAGGGTTATTATGAGATAACAATAGGTGAAAGTGCGGCGTACGAATGAAATCTTGTTGCTGGCATACAATAAAAACGACTAACGGGGAAACGCATAAAGTAAAATGGACCCAATTGTTATAATAATCAAATTATATTGGTAATAATGATTTGCCGCAATGAATTTGAACGGTAATTATATTACTACGTAATATAATTGACGAAAAAGATAATTTAATGAATAGTAAAATTATAATATCAGCGAAATAATTTGTAATAAAAATGTAAAATTTTATAACTTTATTGAATTTTAGTAAATGTTATTAAAATTATTACGTATTCTGATATTACACATTTATCTCAATTTATCTAATATAATCATTATGATAACATTTTTGACACGCGGATAGATACAAAATAACTTTTTATAAAGTCTGCACGACAATAACTACTTGAGACATTCAAATCTAGCTTTGCTTACTTCTACGCATATTTCGCTGAATGAGTTGGAGGAACAGTAAAGGAGGATAAATAAAGTTGATAAAGCTATTACAAGCTATATCTTGGTTGCATTATTGTGATAGAATAATTATATTGTTAGAAAAAAAAAATTATAACAATGTAATTATAAAAAATGTAAAATTCATTGAATTTCTTCAAATGCTTGTATCTGTTCTACAAATTGGGATAAACCTTATACGAAATGGATGAATTGGACGAAGTAAGAAATCTGCTTCTATCCGAAGATTCTTTAAATAATCGACGGGCTTCAAATAGAAATTGTGTATCAGAGGGGCTGCCATTGCTTTCATTTGCATCATAGCAAATCGTTGACCTACAGTGTATGTAATAAGTATTGCAATTTGTTTACATAAGAAGATTTAAAAAAATGTAACTTGCCGATACAGTTACGTGGTCCAGCACTGAATGGTAAATACGAATAAGGATGACGATTTCGGCTCTTCTCAGGCAAAAATCTATCCGGATCAAATATTTCTGGATTTGGCCAAAAATTAGGATCTCTATGAACTCCATAGATATTAAGAAGTACCGTTGTTCCAGCAGGTACTAAATATGACTCTAAAAATATACATTACAAATTGAGATGCAATTTATAAAAATACTAATCAAAAACTTTATTATAACTTAAGAAATACACGTTTATATATGCTGCAATATGTATATATATTTCTTACATAATGAAAAACATGATGTGAAAATTACTTAAATTTGTTATAGAATATTAACATTTTGAAAATAATATACGCTGTGTAATTATAAACATATGTATGAATTATAAGAAAAAATAATATTCAGAGTATTTTAGGAGAAAAAGTCAATATTTTGGGTGATCTTGATGATCAACTATCATTTCCCAAAATATTGACCTTTTCTTCTGTGATGTCCTATATAAATTAATGTTATCTCTAAAAATGTAGACATTTTTTAATCCCTTGAAATAAGAATATTGCATTTTATACATATTTGGCTTTTACATTTTATGACATATTTGTAGTACATTAAAAACGTACGTAATTTTACGTCTTCTCCAGTAACTCGAGATATTTGGTAACCGCTGGGATATAAACGCAATGTTTCCTTTATACATCTGTCTAAATATGATAAACTTTGTAATGATTTCGTAGTAAATTTCCTTCCATTCTCTTGCATAACAGTATCGATTTCTTTTCTGACACAATCCTGTATCAATAATGTTCATCAAAAATGCGTTTTCTTAGTATTGTAATGTTTTAATGTAGATAGAAATAATTTTGAGTATTACACTTAATTTTGAAGCGATGAAATTATTCGACATGCATTTATATATACATAATCTATTTGAAATATGAAAAGTTTGAAATGTATACTTATATATACATTTTCTGTATATCAAATATACTTCTGTACATGCAGAAAAACAAATTATTTATTGCACACATATTTCTATTTAAAAAATAAAAATTTAATATTTTTCAACTTTAATAACTTCTTGAATTACTGAAATTATTCAATTATTTCTTATAAAAATGATGCTTGTTTGATAATAAATACCTGAATGTCTTCATGCTCAGCTAATAGTGCTAACAGAAAGCTTATACCTATTGCTGTAGTATCATGACCCTATAATCACATGATATCTATTGATATATGTTCAAATAATGCACAAAAAAAAGATAAGATAATTTTTACAAATACATACTCCAGCCATAAAAGTATCAACTTCTTCCTTGATATCTGAATCAGTTAGAAGACCTTCTTGAAAGGTTGCTATTAGAAGATCCAACAAAGCGAGCTGTTTCTTTTTTACTAAATCGAAGTATAAGTAAATCATGATATTATAATCTAATACTTGAATTATTTTATTCTTTTACTATATATAATATTGACTAAGTAAAATTTAAATTTATTAATAAATTTGAAACTATTAATAAATTATAAAAAATAAGTTATGATAATATGCACAAACCAAATTTGAAGTGTAATTTTCGATTACCTACTTGTACTCGTTTCTGTGTCATCTGCCTCTGAGGTGATGTTATCAAAGTTTTTCAAAAATCGACCATTGGTGCGTTTATGATAAAGTTTCCTTTCCTCAATAACCTATGTGAGTGACAACATAAACATTCTTTTTTTTTTTATATAAATGTATTAACAGCATTTGGCCAATATTTATGAATTATCTTGTAATATTTGTATACGAAAGTTACGGAATATTTTATTAAAACTTTTTAAATTGATTTCATTCAAATATACATAATACTATAAGTAACATTACTTCCTACGTACTTGATCAGTAAATCCATGTAATATTTTTACAACTTCTTTTTGCTCTCTGCCTTTTGGCACTAATGAGAATATCCAATCATTATGCAACCATTGCCTTGTTAATCTAAATCATAATTATTGAATAATAAGTTATTTTAAATGTGAAATATTATTATTTTGTAAAAGTTTTCTCTTTTTTCATTATTCAACTTTTACAATTACTAACATATCAATTGTATAAAAAGAGAATAGATAATACAAAATAAATGCTGTACTAAAAGATATACAGGATAAGATCTGATCTTTATAGTTTTTTAATTAATCTCACAAGGAAAGGGACCCAAGTGTCCCCCTCTGATTTTGATGAACATTTAATGTTATTTTCTGGACAAAACCAAAGAATAACATATTAAATGCTCATCAAAATCGGAGGGGGACACTTGGGTCCCTTTCCTTGTTAGATAAAGAAATAATAAATCTTTATTTGATTGTGTGCATTGTTTCTTTATGCTTCAGTATATGCATTCAGTATTCAGCATATAGTAAAAGTTTTAAGCAACATTTATATATTGCTTGATACTTTTAGTATAATTAAGTATAATTTTTAAGTATAATTTTAATTATTAACGCAAATGATTTTTTTATTATATTTTTTTTTATTCTGATATAATTATACAAATTCAATGTATCTCTTAAAGTGGCATATTATAGATGTGTTATTTATTATCTTCAAATTACCTATATGCAAATAGTTCGCCCATCTGATGAACCGCTTTTCGATATTGTTGTTGATACTCATCGAAGTTTCGTAAAGAAGTGCCCATGGCAGTTTCTGCGAACACATTTGTCAAAACATCATGATCTATTTAATATAGTGTGTGCGTGCGTGTGTGCGTGCGTGTGTCCTAAAAGTATTTATAACTGAAAATTACATATTCTTAAATATATGTTGATTATATGTTATTTTAAATAACAAATAATTATATTTTATCTTATATTATTTTTTATTCAGAATAAAATGTTGTATAATTGTAAACAAAATACAATACCGCATATTGTATTCAGCGTATGTTCACTAATAAATGATACCAATTCTTTTATAATTAATCCTTCTGTATTTTTCAATGACTTTATCATATTTTCGCTTTCCTCGGTCAAAATCTCAAGAAACTGTTGCAATATTTTAAAATGAAATGCGGGGGTTAATATCTTCCGTCGTGAGTGCCACTTGGCACCTAAAACAATAATTGCATAGTCAATATAATCATGAAATAATGTTTCGAAATAAATATTGCTAAAAAATTCTGTATTTTTAAAGTCATAGTGCCACATTTTATATTAAAAAAAAATTTAACCTAATTATTACAAAATTTGTAATTTTAAATGTCTAATATTTAAATTTTTTACACTCAGTTTTATTTTGTTATTAATATAAATATAATAGAAAGTTTGACTGAGATATCCTAAACATAACGTAATAGTAGAACAATATTTTTATATATACATCACCTCCACTAGTGAAAAGACCAGTGCGCAACCAAGGATAAAAAATGTCATAAAGTGAACTTTTATTAATATGCTTTATATTACTTAGTATTGCCTGAAATAAAAGGAATTGAATTAAATATTATTTAATCAGATACCCTGTAGATAATTGATTGATTCAAATTATCTTAAACATTTGATCATTCTTGAAAAATATTTTATTTATAAACTTATTCTTGTAAAACAAAAATGAATGAGAAATACTTAAATTATTAGTGTTTTAGTTATAAAAAGTTAATTTTTTTTAAATATTTTGTTACCTCTAAATCATCTGGATGACGTATAAGTACAAAAGGCCAAAAAAATGCCCAAATTTTACAAATGGGATAATACTGATCAATTAGAGTCGTTAGAGACTTCCATTGTTTTTCTGTGTGTATGCGTATATATAATATGAATATACATGAATATTATAAATATTGATAAAAAAGTAGTTATAAATTGATGGTCATTGTAAGTAGTATAGCCAGGATGTAGTAACATTTGATGAACTGGTTTGTCAAGAATTGTATTCTTAACAATGATTAATACCGGTTGTCGAATTTGCAATCACAGTAAGTATAATTGGTCAACAATTTTAAATCATAAAAATTTATATTATGCTTTATTTTAGAATTTTTTAATTTATTTAAGCGTGAAAATAGAATATCGAATATGAATATAAACATTACTCTAGTTAAAAAATACAGATTATGTATAATAATAATAATATAAAGCCTATTTTTAGAGATAATATAAACTGAATATATTTGAAGAGTTCGTTTGTCTCTGCTTTCTCTTCATTTATTGGCTAAAAAATTTTTTACTTCTTGAATAAATCTTGAATAATTTGTTATATATATGTTGTATAAAATTTAAGTTAACTGTAAATTTGTTCACAATAAATATTCAGCGCCCAGCTTTTATCTTGATCATCAATTTTGCACCCAAAATCATAGTAATAGGCTTTTTTTTATTAACCTTCGGTTGTCACACTTGATATAATGCTAGCTGCATTAAAAAAAAGTTTCCGACTGCTATACATCACATTTCTATTTTATAGGTAAATTTTACACAAAAAAAGATTATTTTCACGGAAGAAAAATGACTTTATTATACAAAAACTAGTCGAAAAATATTTTTTTTAACTTAAAATGATACTCAAAATTTGAAAAAATGAAATTATAGAGTTATTCTGATCCCCTGTCTTCATTCGAGATCCTATACATATAAGTAAGGTCACGAATAAGGGTCGAAGATTAAAATAAGTTTACAAAAATTAATTTTTTTTACATTTAATACTATTTTAAACTAAAAAAATTATTTTTTAATTTCTTTTTAAAGAATAATTCTACAAAATATTAAAAATAAAATCAATTTTTCTGTATAAATGCGCTATTTTCCCTATTTAAAAATTGCCTTTTTAATATACAAAGTAAATATTTTCTTTAAAAATCCACTAAAAAATTATTTTTTTATAAAAGTAGCATATTTTAAAAATATTACTCTAAAATTTTAGCAAAAAAAAATTAAAA